AGCCAGGTGCAGGTCGTGCAGTGGGAGCCGTGAAGCCAGCGTTGTGTGGCCGGGGGGACAGGAGGGGGCGCCGAGACCGCTGGGGGGGGCACCCCGGACAGAGCCTGGCCACGGCAGCCAGATGCTGTGTCACCCTGGACTTGGGGACCGGGAAACCAAAGCTTCTAGGAAGCAAGGGGACTCTCGTCCCAGGACTCAGGAGGCTGAGACAGGAGGATCGCTTCAAGTCAGGCCCAGCCTGCGCTACAGAGGCCCATGTGAACTGCGCAACTAGAGCTTGCCTCAAAAAATAAAACTTTGAAATGAGGGCTCCGGTGTGGGGAGTGGTGCGTGCAGAGGGGATCCCACAGGGCCCGGGCTCTGGGACGGCGGTCAGCCGCCTTCCCCGCAGCACCAAGGCTGTGTCGTCGCCCGCACTCGGCCGTGGGTCCTGCACGGACCCCGACCGGGTCCTCACCTGGCACGAGGTCTCTGCCTGTGGTTCACGTGCGGTGTGGAACCTGCAGCCGGACCGAGAACTGGAACCACCCCACGGGCAGAGGGACACAGACTGCGACGGTGAGAGGCCGGGGCGGCCCCGACACACCAGCCTGGTCCCTCCGTCACCAAGGTCCAACTCAGCTCTCTGACAGAGGGCCGAGGTCATCCTGTAACCCGTGTGGCAGCGCACACCTGTGATCGTGCCACTCCGGGAGGCCGAGGCAGGAGGATCTCAAGTGTGAGGCCAAGGCTCACCACAGGGACTTGGCGAGACGCCAGCTTACAATAATCACGCAAAAGGGCTGGGAACGGAGTTCAGCGCAAACCCTCAGCTCATCCCTCAGCACCTGCAGAACAAGCCCTGTCAAAATAGGCTGGGAAGGCAGCCCGGTAGTCTGGGAGGCTGAGGCGGGAGGATCCCAAGTGAACACAGCCAATCGGCAGGACTCTGCCTGGAGATTAAAAGAAAAGGGCTGGAGACACAGCTGGGTGTGAAGGCTCCAGACACAGAAAAGAAAAACCCAAGACGGAAACCGTGAACTGCGCCCCTTCAGCCTTACCATCCGCTGCTCACCCACCTACACAGGAGGGAGGGCTGTGGCAGGGCCTGAGCCCTAACGACCAGCGGAAGGGAGCCAGGACTCGGGGTCCTGCAGGCTGACAGGCAGCTCTGCAGGCACAGCCCCGTGTCCGCGGGGGATCAGAGACCCGGGGAAGGCAGCACCTGAGCCACAGGGCCGACTCCGGCAGCCCCAGCTCCGCACCCCAAGTCCCCACGCTGCGTGCTCCCCGCAAGGTGGGGTCAGGGCTGGGGCTGAGGGAGGCGCTGAGGTCCTGAGGGTGGAGCCCCAGGGACGGGATCCGCGTCCTCATCACGGACCCAGAGAGCTCCCCGCCCTCCACCACCCGAGGACGCAGCGAGAAGGAGCCGCCCGGGACGAGGAAGCGGCCTCACTACACACGGGCTCTGCCACCCCTGGACTTGGGCTTCGGCCTCCAGGACCGGGCGCCGAGCTCTGCCGGGTGTCAGCACCGGGCTGTGGGGCGGCAGACGG